CTCTCTCTCTCTCTCTCTCTCTCTCTCTCTCTCTCTCTCTTCATCTGTCTGTCTTTGTCCCTCAGTCTGACTCTGGCTCTGTCTCTGTCTGACTCAGGCTCTCTCTCTCTCCGGCTGTCTCTCTCTCTCTCCGGCTGTCTCTCTCTCTCTCAGAAGGGGAAGTTTGTCTGGGGCATATGTGCGAGAAGAGGTTAGAGGACAGCAGAAACTGAGTAAACCACAGGTTGTACCCTTAAGGCGAAATCTCCCTGGCCCTCCCAGTCTTGCTTTACTCGCTTCCTGCTGAATCATTCCCCTTGGCTTTCTCACCTTCTTCAGTTTCTGGTTTCTTAGATTTACTTTCCCATTCTCCCCATCCCCCTAAACTTCCTCTACCCTTAGTCCTTTAGTCAGTCCTTGAGGATACACTAGGAGTGGGACACGTAAGCCTTGGGGGAGGGAGGAGACCAGGATGGAAGTTTTAAGGGGAAGAAAGAAAAAAAAAAAAACAAACAAACCCAAACCCTGGGATAAACATGATTTCCTTAGATATCTGAACTCTTGGAGCCTTGGTCTGAGCTGTTTTGGACAATGATCAGGGATTTAGAACTGAGAGCTCAGGAGGGAGGAACATGGGCCTGTGTCCGAGCTAAGACTGGCTTCTTCACCCTGCCTAGATTTCAAGCCCTGGGGATTCCCGTGAGTTGGGTGAAATTAGGCGGCTTCTGGTTAACAATGGTCATTAAGGAGGAGAGGGAATGGATTGCAGGGCTCAGAATTTAGAGCAGGAGCTCTCAACCTGGGGACTCAATGAACTTGGTTTTAAGGTATAAATATAGATAATCATATTTCAATATAATTGGTTTCTTTTGTTATCCTGTATATTTTATGCTGTTAAAAACATTCTGAGAAGGGGTCCATAGGCATCACCAGACTGTACAAGGGGTTCATGTCATGAAATGGTTAAGAACCCCTGAGTTAGAGGGTGCTAACATCACTTGAAGAATTTCAGCCATCTTGAGCAAGAGATTAGCATCTAATTAGCAATGATCATTTAAAATAGGGAGCTGCTGGATGGTGGGCTGGGGTAAGCTCCTTTCACCACCCTGTTCTTCTTACTTCCTGATAAGTTGATGAGGTCTTTGCTTCATTTGAGTCTTTGTCCTGGTCATAAAACATTCTTGGTTGTGGCTGTGGTGGAATGAAAAAGGGAAAAATCTAAGAGTGGGGGAAGCAGCCTGATTTCCCCCTTCAGTTATCTAGGGCTCCCCAGTAACCCATACCTCCCACTTCCATAAAAAGACACCTTTATTAGATATGTCATCTAATCTTATAAACCTATATTGCCTTCATAAGATAGGCACAGTGTCACTCATCCAACATATATTTATTAAGTGCATACTGTATACAGAATACTGTGTTCATCATGGAAAGTGTTACAAAATTTAGAAAAAACTTAGTCCCTATCCTTGTAAAATTCATGGTCTGGCAAAAGGATTAGTGATACCACAGTAATACATCTGATCAGTTATTCACCAAGCATTTATTATTACCTATATTCCAGATGAGAAACAGCAGAGAGTATTGGAGAGCCAGCTTCAGAGTTGGAAAGACCTGGGTACAAGTCTGTTGTTC